GGTGCTCTGGACTGCCCTTTGGTCCATGGCTGTATGGAAGCTTTCAGCCAACCATGCCCAAGCCATGACTTGCAGTCTGCCACCAGTGAGGTGGTGCATTTCAGCAGTGATGATGGTCAGTCACCTCCACGTATTTTTTTACAAGCAAAAAGAAAGGGCTAATGGTAGTGAAAATAGCGTTTTGTAACTGAGAATGTCACTATCAGAGTTATTGTGCTCTTTGTAGTTGTTGTCATTTCCATGGGGGAAAAAAAAAATGGCATTACTTTTGGAGCAACCTACATATGTGCAGCCCAAGACAATTCCTCTTCACTCAGTGTGGCCCAGGCAGGCCAAAAGGTTGGGCACTCACGCTCTGGGCTGTGACCACTGATTGGGGAATTGGTGTCATGCTGTGCATGGAGGTGCTCCCCAGCCACACAGCCCAACACCTTATAGCCTATCTATAGCTCTAGATGTATGGGCTGATTTTTGGGTGGTCCTGTGTGGAGCCAGGAGTTGGATTCAATGATCCTTATGGGTCACTTCCAACTTGGGGTGCTGTATGATCTGTCAGATTAAGCTGGTGTTGTGTTAGGTACAGATCTATTTGTTTGCCTGGTGGTTGGGAACAATCGAACCCAACAACAAGAAAAACCCTGGCAATTAAAATGTTGAAGGAAAGCCCTCTCTGGGGGCATTGTATAGCTCTGTTGTAAATATAGTGCATTTTCTCCCTTCTTCCCTCCCTTCCTGGCACAAGACACTATGCTGGGATATCTTTCTTTTTTTCTTTTTCCCTCTTTTAAGCCTAATGTGCCTCCATTTTTATCAATTAGCTGCCTGTCTCCCGATTCCCATGGCAACACAATAGGCTGTTGAGTTTCTGGTGCTGTTGGCAGTCGGGGTGCCTGGCATGCATCGCGGGAGCCGTGAGATGACAAAAGAGTTCTGCAGGGAGTAGGAAATACATGGGTAATGCTCACTGTGCACTGCTCCTCATGCTAAACTACTTCTCTTTCCCTCTCCCTCCTCCCCTTCCAAAAAAAGTTTCCTTTCTCTTTGTTTCAGTTACACAGTGATAAGGAATGAGTGTCAGAAGACATGGATGTGTTGGAGGGCGTGCGGCTTTGGCGGGTATGGATGGCACTCATAGCGCAAGGCTGTGTGTGTCATTGGGATCTTGCTGTGAAAGTTATCCCTGCTGATGCTGGAAAGAGATGGAAAGCTGAAGCAGAAGGCAAGGAGCAGAGCTTGTGTGAAGGGGGTTTCTTCCTCCTGTACCGTGCTCCAGGGATTTCAGGCACATGGCTTTCGTTGGCGCGGTAATGAGAGCCATGTGAGCAGGCTGAAGCTTCAGATCCAAACCTTTAACCTCCCCTGTGCTGAGCTCAGAGGAGTTTGTCTGGCTTCCGTGCCTGAACCAGCACGGGGTGCCCAGTCAGCATCAGCCTTGACATGGGAGGAGCTTACAGAAAGGGCTGCAGCAGGGCTGCGTTAGCCTTACAAAAGCAAAAGGGAAAATGGAGATTTAGAGTTGGATAAGATGTGCGTTTAGCGGATGCTGCGTCTGACTTTGATTTCTAAATTGTTGTTCAGCCCTGAAAGCTGTGACCTACAGGAAGACCATTTAAATTGGAAAGAATGAGCTTGACTAATGAGCACAATAGGGTTGTAAAGCTGGAAAGCCAGAGCAGAGGAGATCCCACACACTGTGCTGTGTCTCAGAGCCTGCTAGGAGCAGAGCCAGGCAGGAGCTGCTGTCTGTCCTGAGGTTCGTGTTGGATGGAGCAGCAGAGAGGGAGGCAGTGATCTTTGGGTGTGAAGGAGCAGCAATTTCTTCTTTACCATCATGAGGTAACTGCTGGTGGGAGGGTTGGAGCAGAAGGTACTCAAAATCTGCAGGGTTTTTTGTTGTTGTTGGGTTTTTTCTTTCTTTCTCTAGTGTAACTCTGTTCTCTGCTTTGTACCTGAGATCCATACCGTTGCTTTGCTGTTAGCAACTTTTCATGGAGCTTTCCTGCTTCGTTGGTGAGCCCAACCAGGGCAAGCAGACGTCCAGGTGACATAGGCATGGTGAAGCTGTTTGGGTGCCTGTAGGCTAGAGAGAGCTCAGGAATTCTGAACACCTTGGTGGCTTCCCACTTAGCTCCTTTAGGAAAGGTAACCCCCCAGTGTCAGCTCTTAGAGGACAATGCCATTAGCTAGTTCTGCTATCAGCTAATTTCTGCTGTGGACTATTCTAATATGCTCTTGGGATCAAGGACAGATCAGTCACTGCTGCCTTTTGCCTTTGTTTGGAGCTTGGCCTAGCTCTTGCTGAAGGGGGGCTGTAAGAACGAAGGGGGCAGGCTCTTCAGTAGTGATAGGACAAAGGGAAATGACTTCAAACCAAAAGAGGGGAGATTTAGATGAAATATAAGGAAGAGGTTTTATACAATAGTGGTGGTGGGGCATGGGAACAGGTTGCCTGGAGAGGTGATGGATACTCCATCCCTGGAGATACCCACGGTCAGACTGGAGGGGCTGTGAGCACTGATGGAGTTGTGGGTGTCCCCATGCCTTGCAGGGAATGGGACCAGATGCTCTTTAAAATCCCTTCCAACTCTAAGGATTCCATGATTTTTAGCCTGCTCTGGGTGTTGTGTGACCATCTAATTAATGGCTCTGCCAGATCTGAAGGCAGGAAGAATGGGTGTAGTTTGACCACTGTTGTTTTCCCTGGAAACAGAGTGCACAAAACCTTTTAATTGTGCTGTAGGAAAGTTGGTGGCTTGGTAATTTTTGTATATGGGTAATGAAAGCATGCACTAGAATACCAAGTTCCTACACTACAGCTGTAATGAAAGTAAACCTTCTGGCAGTTCTTCTCTTACACGCTGTCTCTTGGAATAGCCTTATGCTAAATGATCATAATGCTTCTGAGTGCATGCTCTCCTCAGAAACTTGTAATTAGACACTTTCTCCAAGCTGCTGTAATTGCTGCAGTTTGGCAGGCAACTAAAATGAACAAAGTCTATGAAGTCCCACTAAAATGTCGGCTTTATTTCTTTTACTGGAATTCTGTGTGGCACCAGGAGTCCAATGGAAACTCCCACTTTGCTTTTTTTTCTGTCCTAGATGATTTTTGGAGGTGTTTGCTCTAGTGGGTGCTTCTGGATGGGGGTGTAAGTTGTGCTGCAGTGTTTGTTCAGCCCTGGAGCAGCTTTCTTCCTTTCTGTGCTTCGGAAGGGCTGTGGTGATAAAATGCTGCAGCCATATCTGGCTATTAAACTGCGAAAGACTTTTGTACCAACTCTCAAGTGTTGATGCTGTGTTCTTTCCCCTGGAATCAGACCTCCAGCACAGCTCACATTACTTCGGGTTGAGAGCTTCGTGTTCTCTGGGCTGTGTAGGAGCTGAGCTGGATCTGTCAGACCCATTACTTTGAGAAGAGCTGTGGAAGTGGTGCTGGCTGAGCTGTAGTGATGGCTGAGGCTGGATGAATTTCACAGTTCAGATAAGCACTCACGTTTGGATCATCCCTGCCACTGTTCAACTCTCTTTGCCTGCCCTGTCCAAGAGCTGTTGCCCACCCCCCTCTTTTGACTTGGGGAAGCTTTAATGAAGTCCATATGCTCTTTATTTTAGTTCCTCTGGGGCCTAGGCTGAAAGCATGATGTTTGTAGTAGATTTTGTCACTGGGGTCAGCAAGCATAGGGTCACTGCTAACTTGTTTGCTGGAGTTGTTGCTGATCCTTCATGTGCAGCCGTGTACTTAAGGGAGATGGTTTAGTGGGCACAGTGGTGATGGACTGATGGTTGGACTAGATGATGTGGGTGGTCATTTCCAACCTTAATGATTCTGTGATTCTGTAATCATGTTACAGAAAGTTTGGCTTTCTGTTTCCCAGATAAGCTGGCCACAACCTCTGGGGACAGTGAATTTCCAGCATCATCTGCAGCTTTTCTTGTCCCAGCAAAGCATAGCTATAGCTGCAGATTGTGCCCGAATGCTTGAGCAGCTGATGTAGAAATAAGAGCATTCCCTATTACAGGTCTGAATTCTGTACATTGAAGGTCAGCTCTGGAAGAGCTGTGCTAATTGGGGTTTGTAGATGCTTCCTGTTTATAGATGCGCTGTTTGTATTGAACATACCCCAGGTGTCTGCTCACTGCTGGCTTCTGCTCTGCAAAGGCAGAAGCTGGGAAAAGCAAACAATTTGCTAAGGCAGCTGTTGGATCCCGCAGAAGCTATTAACATCCTCCAGTGGGACACTCAATGCTTGGGTTAACTGTATGCAGACCTGTGGTTCTACAGAGTTGGCTAAAACATCAGTGCCCACTCTTGTTTTAGGACAGAAAGGTGGCTGGCATTGTTCTTGGTTCCCCTTTTTTAAGCACCTCCCAGCACTCCTGTTCTGTTGATCTTATTCACACTGCCATGCAAAATATCCTTCAATGCTGTAATGGAACTGGGAATGAATGTGTGTTATAATGGGGATGATGACACGGAGTTTGTCCTTTATTTTATGTGGGATCTGGAGAAACTGAGCAGCACGTAGAGATTTCTGTTCAAACTGCCTTTCTGCCAAGGAAGATTTGTAATTAATGGGGTTGCCCTGTTTCTAACCTTTGCCTGATGTAAATGTGCAACCTGAGCCATGCTCCCAGATGTTTCGTTTTTATAAAAGCCCTTTGCTGGTGTTTTGGCCGCCTCTCTACAACACCCTGAAAAGAGGCTGTGGTCAAATGGGGGTTAGCCTCTTTCTCCAGGTAACAGCAATTGGGTGAGAGGTGATGGCCATCAGTTGCTCCAGGGGAGGATGTTGGGAAAAATTCTCAGAGTGGAGATGTGTTGACGCAGGGAGGTGGGGGAGTCGACATCTCTGGAGGTGCTCCAGAAAAAGGAAGCTGTCACGCTGGGTGGCATGGCCTAGGATTGATGGTTGGACTAAATGATCTTAGTGGTCTTTCCATCGTTAATGATTCGGTGATGTAGGATTCCTCCTCATACCAAGCCCTTTCCCCTTGGTTTGCAGGCTCACCTCTCCACAAGCAAAGTGCCGCCTCCACCTCCAGCACCGAGAAGTCGGGATCGAAGGCTGCCGAGGTGGGCGATGACTTCCTGGGAGACTTTGTGGTAGGCGAGCGGGTCTGGGTGAACGGAGTGAAGCCAGGAGTGATCCAGTACCTCGGGGAGACACAATTTGCTCCGGGCCAGTGGGCGGGAGTCGTGCTGGATGATCCCGTGGGTAAGAACGATGGCTGTGTTGGAGGCGTGCGCTACTTCGAGTGCCAGCCGCTGCAGGGGATTTTCACACGACCGTCCAAGCTGATGCGGCAGCCCGTGGCTGAGGGCTCAGGGAGCGACGTCCCCTCCGTGGATTCGCTTACAGCTCAGAACTTGTCCCTGCATTCGGGCACAGCCACGCCGCCGCTCTCCACTCGCGTCATCCCGCTGAGGGAGAGCGTCCTCAACAGCGCCATGAAGACGGGCAACGAGTCGGGATCCAACCTGTCGGACAGTGGGTCTGTGAAGAAAGGGGAGAAGGATCTGCGGCTCGGGGACCGCGTGCTGGTGAGTTGATGGTGGGGGAGCCTTCAGAAGGTGAAGGGAAGGGATTTGTTCCATCCCTGGGTGCTTCTGGTTGGGTTTGGGGTGAGGGAAGGATGATGGGTGGTGGTGAGATGGGGGGTGGAATGTGGATTGGGAAGGGGGTGCCTCAGCCAAGCAGGCTTTGAACTCCTGCATTAATTGTTATTTGGGATGCAGTGTCTTGTGGATATCTGCTTTTAATTGGTGCAAGACAACTTACTCCAGAGCACTGCTTGCTCAGGGCTTGCCCAGTACAATAGAGTGCCTTCAGAAGGAGAGTAACTCAAACATGAGAGGGAACTAGAAGAAAAATATTATTTTCTATCCCAGCAATGCTCTCCATAATGGTGTGTATCACAACTTTTGAAGGGTTTGCAGCAGTGTGTCTTGTTGTATGTGTTCATGCATACTCTTTACTCCCTTTTTGGTGCTCCAGTTTCTAAGATACTGGATGTGATGTTAAATCCTTTCCCATGTGGAAAGAAACTTGAGATTATTTTTATTGAAGGGTGGGACATTGCACTGAAGGTTGGGTTATCTATGACTGATATCTGTTGTTTTAGAGTAACTGGTGGTATACTTGTGCTAAAATGGCTTATTGCAAGTTTGTCCCAGCAAAGGAGTCATTTCTTCAGTGGCAATTGAGAAGGAAAAGAGAATCACAGTTTTGTTTAGTATGGATGATGAATGCTGTGATATCAAATGTTGTGAAGAAGCCAGCATTAGTGCACACATCTCTTCTGACTTTATCCATGGAACTGAAGGATGGAGATGACTTTAGCCAATGGGGATAGCAGGTTCCAGGGGCAGGTTTTGTGCATCCTGGACAGCCTGGCTCCCAGCTGTGTAGTTTGTTTGGGGCACATGGTTCTCATACCAATAGCTACAGCTGGGAAGTGTGGGCAGACCTGCTCTCTGGTTATAGACAAGGATTTGGCTCCATGGATGGATGCATCACCCCTGCTGCTGGCCCTGCTGCTTCCAGGGGCAGCAGCAGAGATGCTCTGCTCACACACACTGATGGGTTCAACATTCATAAGCTCATGGGGAAAAAACAACCTTAGGAATCTGTCCTCCTCTGGCTGGTTTGTCTGCTTCCCTCTTGTCCTTTTACCTCTTGGAGGGACAGTGCTCAAGTGAGGACTGCCCCTTTTAGCAGCAGCAATGCAGGCTGAGCCTTCAGCATGCTCGTGTCATAGAGACTGTTGGTGGTTTTCCCCCTGGCCTTCTGTTTTTTGTTTCTTTGTTTAGATTGTATTTTTGTTGTTGTTCTGTTTGTTTATAAATGAATGGAAGCCCTCCCTGCCTGCTGCCTTATCCACCCCAGATGTTGTTAGAGAATTTGTGCTGTTCTTTGTTACTGTAATGAATAACTTCAAAAGAACAGATCTGAAACGAGCAGAAGCTCTCAGCTTAGAGAAATATTAGGAGATGTTTGCATGCAGTAGCAGAGATCTGGGAGAAGAACAGATAGAATCATAGAACCATTGAGGTTGGAGAAGACCACTAAGATCACCAAGTCCAGTCATCAGCTGGATTTGAGCCATTTTTGTGTTTCTATGTCTTTGTTCTTAGAGCCTTTCCAACTGAAGCAGTTGCTAAAAGTAACCTAATGGAGTTTTCCACTAGAAGAGTTAGGTAATGTTTGCCTTTGGCACTTTTGAACTCAGACTTTTTTTTCCCAGAGATGCAAAAATTGCATTAAAGAGGTGAAAAAAGCCCTTCACTGTGATGCTGTGGAACTCATTTCTTGAGGTCTGGCATATGAATGTGGAACAATTAACCTTTGCTTTAGTGAGAAGAGAGCTTCCCAAAGTGTGCCAATTGCCCGAGTGCTGCCATTAATGCGAGTCTGCCTTGTTGCCTTTCTCCAGGGACAGAATGGATGGAAAAGGAGATGGAGCAGTTGAGCACTTTCTGCTTGAGAGGAATCTCCGCTATGTTTTTTTTTTCCCCCTAAGAAAATGCATTTTACATGCTTTGAGGGGGAGGCAGTTCAGCAGCTGAACTGATTCCACCCTAAAGTGCTTGCTTAAGATCGGTGGGAAGGAGGTGACTTCTCAGTGAGGAAGTCTAAATAAAGAATATCCTTTTCATAGAGATGTTCTGTCCTTTAGCCATCCTTATGTTCCCATACTGAGGTTGCACAATTCTATACTGAAATGTAGTAACAAACATGACTACCTAAGGGCCGTGATGTTTCCTGATTGACTGTATTCCTGTGGAGTGCTGCCCCAGATACTCCTTAGATGGATTCTGTGGCTGTGACGTTGCCAGAACTTGGAGGTGGCTGAATCTGCAGTTGCTGCTGCAATGGACAGCACTGAAGGTGGGATACGATGGAGCCTTGCCTTGCTGGCAGGCAGCTCTGGCTGCTGGGAAGGTGCTCTGGGCTCACCTCAGGCATGTGATAGCAATCACTTTCTCCTCTGTGCACTGCAGAGTGGTTTTTGCCAGCAGTGTGTTGCCACCTCTTGCTCTTGGCAAATGGCAGGAATTTCTCATGAGTAAACTAATCATGTCCTGTTCTCTAGCACCCCTTGCAAATCTACACACCAGCCTTGATTTGCCAGCCCAGAGCTGCAGAAAGCCTTTAAGCAGCTGAGTGATAAATCCTTGCCATCAGCAGCTCCCAGCGAGGGGAACTGCAGCCCTTGCCTCTCTCCTTGAGCATAGGCAGCCACGAGCTCTGCTGGCAGCTTGCTTTGAGCTGTGTCAGCCCTGGGACTGAAGTCTGGTTGCTGTGAAGGCATGTGGGGCATTAGGAAGGAACTGAGGAACTTAGTGAAACTAAGAGATAACAGCACATAAATAAAAAGCTGCTGCCTTTGCCCTGCTGCTGCGTTAACCCTTGGAGGCTTTTTGTGCATGCACACATCCTCCTAACCATTCATTTAGGCCAAGGCACTGGCCAATGCTTGTCTTCTGTGTGCTAAATTTGACATTAAATAAGAGTTGTGAGTGCCTCATGGCAGAGCAAACTGTATTATTAACATGGGCGGACTTGGTATCAAAGGCAGCCCCAGGAAGGGATGCTGTAATTGCAGGCTTTCCCCTTGCAGTGCATCCCGAGGGCATTATTTTCTCACTGCTGCCTGAAAGATAAATGTGCTTGGATGCCTTGTGTCAGCAGTGCTGTGCTGCGGGGATGGAGGTAAATGTTTGGGTTAAAAGAGGTTATAAAAATTCCTTTGTCATAAACTGTAATTACACACCTGAAGATGAACCAGATCTCCACCTTACCCAGCAGGGTGCTCTGCCTGGCTGCCAGCTGGGATGTACCCCTGGAAATGCTGACATGCACTTCCCATAGGTGTGTGTTCATCCCCCTGTACTTCCAGGTGGTTATTTCCCATGATTTGAAGGGTCTAGATGCAAACTGCTTTGCTTCTGCTAAAGGCATTCTCTGTAAGTCAAGTTCTGTGTGATAATCTTCTGCCATCAGTCTTGGAAGAGCTAAATGGCAAGGAGCTGGGAAGCAGCTTCTCGCTCTCAGCTCAGTAGAAATATGCTCCTGAGATGAGCATGAGGAAAAGGCAAATGCCTGTCTGAGGGAAAAGATGGCTGCTTCAGCTTAATGCTGGGGAAAGCCCGCCCCTCAAACAGGAGCTAGAAGCACTCCTCCATGAAGATGGGCTCCAGTTCTTGTTGGTATCATCCACTGTCAGTGTAGATGAACAAGAACAGCTCATGCTGTTCATTAGAAGTAGTTGGCAGTCTCAAGTTGGGCACTCATGCTCTGAGCTGTGACCACTGATTGGGGAATTGGTGTCACGCTGTGCATGGAGGTGCTCCCCAGCCACACAGCCCAACACCCTATAGCCTATCTATAGCTCTAGATGTATGGGCTGATTTTTGGGTGGTCCTGTGTGAAGCCAGGTCTTGGATTCAACGATCCTTATGGGTCTCTTCCATGGGATATCGTGTGATTGTAAGATGGTCCTCTGAGTAAAGAAAGCACAGATGTGTCAGTATGTTGGGCTTGTTTATGTTCCCACCTTGGTCAGCAGCCTTACCTTGTGGAAATGGCTTGGAAAAGAGCAGAGAAAATGAATGGGGATGGAGTATGAGATTTATGAGCAGGCAGCACAGCACCATCTCTGTGGTTTCTGCCTGGGGATGTGCTCAAGCAGGGGTCTGCAGCCTGTGAACTGTGCCTGACACTGGAAAACAGTCCCTGTTGATCTGAATTAGTGTTTTTTGGTCTTTTTTCCCTTCTGCCTAAGCAGTGAATCACAGTGTGTCACTCACAGGCCCTGGGTTGAGGTTCTTGCTGAGAGTAAAAGCAGGGTGTAAGGGAGAAGAGCAAATGCAGATGACAGGAGTTGGACCTGCAGCAGCCAGATCAAGGCATGGCCTGGTGCTAATTGGACAAATTGTTTAAATGATACATTAGCAGCTCTGATGAAGACAGTGTCTGGGAGATCAGCATCATTGCCTTTCCAGCCCTGGGATACTGGTCTGAATCCAATTTTGTCATTCTGATGAGAAAGCCATAGTAAAATAGGATGTCAGTGTTACTACAGATAGCAGGAAGGTGGGTGGACCTCTTTGATGACTGCACAGTGCTTTTCTCGTGCACTCTGAAGGGTAAAGAACCATTTTGTATCTGTGGCTTCTCATCATTCTGAAGGTCAAGCTCAAGACTTTAAGACTGCTGGAGAGATTTTGTTGAGGAGGTCAAAACACAGATCTCTGGACAGTGGCATGGAAAGGGAGCTCCATACACTCAGTGCTGGAGGTGTGGCCCTGAGCACTGTGCCAGATGGACAGTCATAGACAGTTGTTTTATTTTGTAGTGAAACTGCTTCTATCTTCCTCCCAAGGTGTGATAGTTCTGATTTGTTGAAGGGTAGAATAGAAACAAACACTTCTGTTTTGATGAGCACATTTGCTGTGTGTGCTGATGTGACCTGCCAGCTGGCTTTTTCCAAAGCATGTTGTTTGTTTTAGCAGTGTTAACAGATTATCAAGGCTGAATAAATCCGCGTGTCTGCATTGGATGAGTTCTCGAGGCTCTCCATCCGTGAGAGTTTGTTGTGTTTGCCAGAAGTTGGGAGGTTCACCATGGGCTGCCATGCAAGTGTGACAGAATAACTCTTAAAAGAGAAAAGTAGAATGGAATCATGTAGCCATCTGGGGGAGTTCTTTGCCCAGAGGGCTGTTGGTGTCCCATCCCTGGAGGTGCCCAAGGCCATGGATGGGCCCTGGGCAGCCTGAGCTGGTGGGTGCACCCAGCCCACAACATGGGGTTGGAGTTGGATGGTCTTTGGGGTCTCTTCCAAACTATCCACCCTTTGACTTTCTGTGCTGTGTGGAAGTGGCCCTTTGCAGTGTGGTAAGAATCTCACTGATGGAAGGAGCTCATCAGGTTTTTTGAGGGAGCCTCCCAGAAGTGTTAAATTCCTATCGATGATGTTAAGATGAATTACAATTCTACTGAATGCAACTTGCAGTTCAAGAAACGTATTAGAAGGACACTAAATCATTGCATTAATATTGAGAGAGTAAAACTGTCTAAACTCAAATAAGTCAAAAAAGAGGGCTGCTGTTTGACCATGAGTAAAGAATTTTCCTGAGACTGCTTGAACCTTATAACTGGCCAAGTACCCACTGCTGACATTAAACCATTTCACTCCTGGGCACAGTTTAGAACCTGAAAACTTTGCGATGCTTTTCCTCCTTCCTGCACTGAATCGAGTTTTCTCCATAAGTAACACTTGGCTAAATTCCTAGTGAGGAAAATTAAAGAAGACAAACTTGAGCTGCATGCAGCTTGGCCTCCTGGGACGTAGGGTAGGACCCATCCTGCAGAGCTGTGCTCTTTCAGGTGCAGATATTTTTAGGTTGGGAACACTCATTTCCATTTGTGTTAAACCATGTGCAGGATATTTAGTGATTAAAGATTGGTAAATCTGTTACATCCTCAGCCCAGAGTATGTAAGATTGGAGATTTGTGTTCTGTCACTGTTTTCTGTAGGATATTATTTTGTTGACACCTATTAATGTAAAATTTAATATTAAGAAAATTAATAACCACCAGTTATTGAAGATAGAAGCTGTAGATCTAATTTTAAGATTGTTAAGCTTTCTTCCTTGAACGCAGGCTTAGCAGAGGCCAAAAAAGGTTTAAATTATGTGCTGATTCACTCGAATCCTTAGAACATCCCTCCTACTTCTCCATCTTTCTTGTCTCAGCACAAATATCTAATGAAACCCATAGGTGTAAAGATAGTGGCAGCTGGTAGAGCTGCTGCTCAGTGAAACGTGTTCTCATTGCAGTGATCAAAGCACGGCTTTGTGCATTCCTGACCTGCGCTGTCCTGGGGTCTGCTCTGCACGTTGAAAGTTTTAAGTGTACAAATGGGAGCAAAAGGTGTGATTTATTCTTATTTCTCCACGGTGGGGGTGGAAAACCAGGTGGCAGTTGAAGCCTCGCAGTACAAGACGACCCTGTTTCACATGGCATTTTAACTCAGTGAATTGATGCAGAGTGCGTAGGTAAAAGCACAGCTCTTTCTGAACAAAATATCTTTATTTTGAGAGGTTTGCTGGAAGGGCTGTTGGCTATGTGCTAGCAAACCCTACACGAGGATGAGCTGACAAGCAGTGTGAATGCCTTGCTGCTCAGATTATCCCTTTGAAATCCTGTCCCAGAGCTGCCAGCTGAAAGAGCAGAGCGCTGAAACCCCATTAGTGCGGATGTTCGTTCTTTGCAGAAGGCTGTGCTTGGAGGGCTGAACTCCTTCAAGGCCTGATGAGCGACTGTGTGCAATTAGTTGATGTTCTTGTTGTATTTGTCCTGACGTCTCCCAGGCAGGCATGTCAAAAAGTGGGAGATTTGCTTGTAGATGGGAAAGATATCTTTAGTGCCAGGAGACTTTGGTGTGAAAATTATCTGTTCTGGTTTCATTACATCTACAGTGGAAAATCTGATTGATATCATTTTCTCCCCCTTCTCTCTCCATAGCTATCCCAGCTTTAGTTGACCTGCACTAAAGCCATTTTTGCCTCTAACCCTCAGCATTTTATCCCCAACAGGTTGGTGGGACGAAGACAGGAGTTGTGCGCTACGTGGGAGAGACAGATTTTGCCAAAGGAGAGTGGTGTGGAGTGGAGCTGGATGAGCCCTTGGGGAAGAATGATGGGGCTGTGGCTGGGACAAGGTACTGAGCACCCCAAAACTCAGCCCGGGCATGTGGGGTCCGAGCAGCTTTTGGGTGTTGGCACCAAACACCATTTGGGGCTGGGAGGAATGGCTGGGGTGCTTGGCTGGATGTGGTGGGATGGGAGGAAGAATCCAGTTCTTGCTTTTTGGTTGTCATCTGTTCTTGTATTTAATTCTGTAATTCATAAATCATAAATTGCTAGGGTTGGAAAAGACTAAGATCCTCAACCCACCCCACCATCCCCACTGTCCACATCTTTCAGTGCCACATCTCCATGGCCCTGGAACACCTCCAGGGATGGTGACCCACCACCTCCCTGGGCTGATGGATCTTACCAGCTCTGCCTCAATGGACTCTTCCATCATTTTTGTTTCAAAAAAAGCCTTTGTTGTATCTAGATAACCAGGCAGGGACACCCAGCAAGCTTCCCAAGAAGTGATGTTTCTGTTCATGTAGAAATGAGATGAGGGAGTGCCTCCAGAATCACATCCTGAGTTTGATGATGTTCAGATCAGTGCTTTGACCCTCATCCAACACAGGTGGAACTGATTTCCTGTTCTCCACGAGCCCCTTTCAGGGGAAATACAGTTGATTTTGCAGAGCTTCTTAAGGGAAACTTGCATTAAAAGTGAGCTTTAACTTTGAAACAACTCAGGAACTGAGAGTTCCTCTGCTGTTAAAGCTCAGGTTCTGTAATAAAGGTTTCTTGTGTTGAATCAGCAGTCATATGTTCTCATTTAAAATCAGAGAAACTCTGCCTTGTTCAATGTCAGGGCAAGAAAGCAGTAGATGATTGGCAGCAGATGGCTGAGTTCCAGCCTGTTCTCAAATGAAAAGAATCAATGTGATGGAGTGGATCCAAGTCCCTGCTTTCTTTATCATGCAAAATAAATTATCTCTAAGCTTAATCTTCAGGTTGTCAAGAAATGATTTATTGTCTTTGTGCATATGGGATGCGAGGAAGGCAGATGTGAGTGGTCAGGGTGCTTTCTGCTTCTTGTCTTCACACCTCTGTTGCTGGGTTTTGAAAGCCCAGTTTTTGAAGGCCATCTTACTTCTGGAACTGCTGTGTCATGGTTTTATTTTGCTATGTTGTGTACTGTGTCTGCAAGATGTCTCTTGTCTTGCATTTCATGCTTTGTTCCTGCTCTTGATTCTATGGCAGGATCAAGGAAATGGAGTGAATTCAGAGTTTCTGGTTAAAGAGGGGAAATTTAAGGGAAGTTGTAAGGCACCCCTGCCCTGTGCATCCCAGCCAATGATGCAGATCTCCTAGCATAGTAAACACATGCCCCTGCTCATCCCTTGAGCCTTCATCTAACCTTCTGGTTTTGCAGCAGTGAGAATGGCTCATTGGCAGCTGCCAGCACGCACTGATTTCATCAGCAGGGTTTTAGAGGAAAGCCCTCAAAATAAACCTGACTCCCTTGGGGCATGCAGGAACCCCTTAAACTGCCTTTCCAATGTTTGCCACGGCTGTTAGGTGTTCCTGGATACTGCCCTGAGTTCATCCTGCCAGAATTAGTCTGGGAAGAGACTGCCAAGGGCTCTGCTTTGGTGCTTGTTGCCATCTAGTGAGCATGCTTGGCTTGGCTGCCCAAGGCTCTGTGCTGCAGTACCTGGTTGCTACAGCTGTGCTAAGGACAAGGGGTAAATGAGTAGCAAAGGAATCCATCCCCATCCTTGCTGAGGTGAGCTCTCTGAGTGAGCTGATGGTAGATCAGCTGAATTTACCGATTCTCCTCAAGCTGAAGAAGGTTTTCTAGCAGATGTTTCTGCTGCCAAGTGTTCTGGACCCAATTCCTGTTTACGAACTGTATAAAAGTTAACTGCAACCACTTCCAGTCTGGACTAAAAGTAGGTGGGTAGATGCAGTGTGATGCAGGTTCTAATTTGCAAACAGCTGCTGAGGGGCTGTGTTGTAAAACCCCAAGTACCAGTTTGTGTTTGGAACGTGTAGACCAGTGCCATGCTGTTGGGCTGCCTGTGCCAGATGTGGTTGGAAAGATGATGCTGAGGAAGGCTTTGTCTGGTTTGCAAGAGGTCACACAGATTTTCCTGCTTTTTTTCCATTCTGGATTAAGGTCTGCCTGTGGCACGCTGGATTTTCCAAACCCAGGAGCCTTAGCAGCAAAGAGGGGCTAAGCAGTTTTGGATCATAGGGTCTTTTTTTTTTTTTTTAAGGGTTATTTTTTTGGGGAAGGGGGGGGAGGAGTGGGGAGTTGAGCAGGTGTTTGAAAACAAATTGCTCTCTTCTGGGTGGGGATCAGGCTGTTCTCTGGCCTCCCAAGCACACAGAGCTCTGTGACGCAGCCCTGTGACCGCTTCCAAGTAAAAGCCATTTGGAAGCAGCTGCTCACGTCTGGAGAAAAAGGACTCGTGCTGGCAGAGCTTGAGCTGAAAGCTGCTACTCCTCATGCTCTGGAAGGACAAATTTACTGGTAGAACACAGTGCAGAGCTGTATGATTTGTGAATACACTTTGCTGCGCGACTTTCTTGCAAGTAGGGTGGAGAGCACCCAGATGCTGGTTTGGGGAGGCCTGGTTTGCTTCTCGAAGGAAGGAGTGTGTGTGCTCTCATTGCATTTGTGTATTGGGATACTATCTGGGCAACCACATGGCTCTTTCCTGATAGCTCATCAAAATGTGTAGCAATTAGTGCGTGGCAATGCCCTTCTGCAGGGCTTGGGCAAGGTGGATGCTATCACCCTTCTGACACAGAGCATCTCTCCTGTTGCAGGTATTTTCAGTGCCCTCCCAAGTTCGGCCTCTTTGCTCCCATCCACAAGGTGATTCGGATTGGGTTTCCATCAACCAGCCCTGCCAAGGCAAAGAAGAGCAAGCGGATGGCCATGGGAGTGTCTGCCCTAACCCACAGCCCCAGCAGCTCCTCCATCAGCTCCGTCAGCTCCGTGGCTTCATCTGTTGGGGGCAGGCCCAGCCGCAGTGGGCTGGTAAGTGGCTTTTTCCACTCTCCATCTGCTGAGGGACTCAGCTCTGCGAGGTGGGAGGGCTGGAGTTCGGTTTCAGCAGCTGCACTGGGGCAGCTGCTCTTTCCCTGTCAATGAGATGAGGAAAGTGGAGTTTGGGATATGGTTTCTGACCTTACAAATTGGACTCCTTCCACGGATGTGAGAGGTGTAACCAGACACTGAGCAATTGTGACCATTAGAGTCACAATTTGCAATGGGCTGCACCTCAGCTCTGCTGTCAAGTGCAAGTTTTGTTATAAGATCCCTGCACAAAATGCTATTGCTTCCTGCCCATGTGTTTGTGTAGCAGTGTGCTGTTAAGCAGCTCTGCCTTCCAGCCCTGCAGTGACTGCGTTTTAGCTCCAAGGGCTGACACTCTCCTGGATCACATGCCTTCTGCTTTGGAAGATGCTCAAGAAGGCAGACACCAGAGCAGCAGAAATATCATTAAAAGCTCTGACGTAGTGTGTGCTGCATAGCACCTGCAGTCCTCTTGGCTGGGGACAAGGGTGCAGTATCCATCACTGGGAATGGATCCAACCAAACAACACCACTCTCCTTTTGAGTTCAATCTTCCTAACTGCGCTCGCTTGGGGACTGCACCAATGCTGGGCATCGACAAAATATATTTTAAAAGGCAGGCAGTACAGTGCATGCTAATCTTTCTTAACCCAATTCCCACCTTTTGGGAAGTGATTCTTCCATTGCAGCATGGCAGAGCAAGGTTTCTGCCAACTCATTAACCTGGCCTGTGGGGGCCCAAAGGTTCCAAAGCTGGAACTGCAGTTCTGTACAGCCTAATAAATGATCAGTAGACCTGGACTTCAAGCTATTCTAGACTGGGGAGAACATGGCTTTATTCTGTCTCTTTATCTCTTCTTCAGCTGACAGAGACCTCCTCCCGTTACGCCCGTAAAATCTCTGGCACCACGGCTCTCCAGGAGGCTCTGAAGGAGAAGCAGCAGCACATCGAGCAGCTGCTGGCAGAGCGTGACCTGGAGCGGGCCGAGGTGGCCAAGGCCACCAGTCACATCTGTGAGGTGGAGAAGGAGATTGCCATCATGAAGGCCCAACACGAGCAGGTAGGAGGAGGGGTGGCCCTGAGGGCGCTGAGGCCATGACACTGCTGCCCAAAGAAGCTGTGGGTGCCCCATCCCTGGAGGTGCCCAAAGCTGTGGGTAAGCACTGGGCAGCCTGAGCTGGTGGGGGGCACCCAGCCCACAGCAGAGGGTTGGATCTGGATGGGCTGGAAGGTCCCTTCCAACCCAACCTGTTCCATGGTACCTCATGTGCAAACCAGGCTCTAACTTTCTGCCTTTTGTGTGGAGGAAGCTTCCCACGCAGCAGGCTTTCTCCATTCCTGCTGTTGGAACATGCTCTCTCTTCTTCAAGGAAGGAGCACGAACAGGGCTATGCCAGTCCAAGGACAGAAGGTAGTTTGCTTTTCGATAGATCTGGGTGCTGAAATGCAGTGGGAAACAAGCACAGTGCCCTGAGCCACAGTGCTCTGGCCTTGGCTGTGGCTGCACTGCGGCGTTCTATGATACTGTCAGATGCTGCATCAGTTGGTGTAAGTCCCTGCTTATCCAGAGGGGATGATTTAATCATACTAAGAGTTGGCAACTGTAAGGAAAGCAGGCTGATTGTGCTAATACTTTGAATTTTGTTCAAGATTGTATGTGGATGGTATTTTATCCACCTGAATGTACAAAGAAAGGAGTCACATGTTTATGCTGTTCATCCATGTGTGGCTCCCTAATAAACTGTTCTTACCCTGAGTTCCTTGCTGCTGTTATAAGCCCTGCTCAGCTGCAGGGAGCAGGGATGGGTAGCACTGACTCTCTTTGTGGTGGGCCACACCTGCCTGCCAGAACCATGGGAGGAAGTGGTAAATCAACTGCAAGCTGACGTCTTCCTTCTGGAATGATATTTTCTGGTAATTATCAGTGATGAATTAATGGGAGCCTAAAATGATTCTCCCGCTCAGTGATGAGGGCAGAACTGGATCTGGTGACTTCGGACCAGGTTTTCAAAACTGTTTGGGCTATGAGTGCTTAAATCTAATCAGAGCTGGATTCTCCAAAGGGCTCCAATCTGAAAGACACTGAAACATGGATCAGATTTACAGCTGGAGGAGATTGAGCAGGTTTTTTTGATGCTTATGTCCTGGGCTTTTTGGCAAATCTACCTTCTTACAATAGCAGCCTCTGAAATAGATCATCAGAACCTTCTGTTCCCTTGTTCTGATCCTTTTTTTAAACAGTTCTGTACGTCAAATGTTGCCAGCTTTTGTGAGTCGGGTTCTTTTTGTTGCTGCAGTATGTCACAGAGGCAGAAGGGAATCTCCAGCGAGCTCGAGCTCTGGTGGATGGGATGCAGAAGGAGAAGATTGAACTGCTGAACCAATTGGAAGAGGAGAAGAGGTAAAATGGGAGTGAATGGGCGTGGGAGAGGTGAAACCATGTAAGAGATGAAGCTCTTAGCTGTGAATGGTGTTGGTTGGATGTAAGGACATGAAAGTGACTGGAGAGACATCCTGGGATGCCTCCTTGTATTTCACATGTGCTGTGCTCCCCTGTCTTGGCTACTACAATCTGCCTATTACGTGGTTGGACCCATATTCTTGCCAAATACAGGTAGTTTTTCAGACAAAAAGCACTTCTGTTCCTGATGGGGACTCCAAACTGCTGGCACACCTGTGAAGACCCCAGTAACAACTTTCAGGCTGCTTGCATGTCCAAGAGCATGTGACAATGGCAGATATTGCCCTAACTGTACAATGTGGGCAACAGTTCTCTGCCACTGCTGGCTGATGGCCAAACAGCCTTGGTCTTCTGCTGGGCTATGAACCTACTGAAGGCTTCCAACCATCTTCCCCCTTTTTTGGTTCCTGATACTGAAGATACTGAACAGGGAGAAGTAGCATATCTATCTCTCTGTGATGTGGTAATGTCGTGGACGTTGTGAGAAATGGAAGTCAAACTGGAATACAGTGTGATTCCCCATGTCCCAGGGGCCCCATGTGATGATGCATGCATTTCCTTTCTGGATGAGAGGAAAGATCTGTTTGTCATTCTTGGAGGCCAATTGCTCCATACGTATAACTGAACCCTCCAGTGGGAACGAAGGCATTTCTGTGTGTTAACTGAGAAAGCTGGAAATGGTGCTGGTTTCAGTGGGACGGTGCTCCTCCTGGAGAGGAGTTTTCATTCATGCTCTTTGGGCAGGCAGCTCATTTTCCCAGCTCCAGGAGGCCCTTTAACCCACAACAGCTGAGCTATTTCCTAAATATCAACAGATGCCTCCTCTAATTAGGGGAGGTTTAGACAAGGAAGCTTGTTTATGAAGTTAGATATGTACTCTCACAGCTATTTTTGTCTCTGTAACTGAATCAGAGCCCTTACATCTGGCTGCCAGTGTAACATCTTCATTACTGCTTTTTTTTTTTTTTTTTTTTAAATCAGTAAAGAGAACAAAGAAGACTGAGTTCAGCAGAAGATTGAATTACTGTGTATTGTTATGAGATTTTACGTTCAGACTTTGCAAAAGAGTCCTAGGCACTTCCAGTATGGGGCTTTATGTGTATTTATGCATGGCAAATTGGTGCAACCTCTGTACTTTTTATGTAAAGTTCCTTCTTTTCTCATCTTTTTATTGCACAAGGGTGGCCCATGTGCAATGGCTGCTAGTAGGGTGCTCATCTGGGTGTTACTGATTGCTCTTTGTCTCTTCTTCCTCCCACAGGAAAGTGGAGGACTTGCAGTTCCGTGTGGAAGAAGAATCCATTACCAAGGGGGATTTGGAGGTAATCCCCACTGCCCTCACTGAGATGTGGGGGCCAAACTGGGAGCTGTGTGTGTGGTAATTCCTACCTGACTCTCTCTGCATCCTCTTTACTGATGGCTGTGGATATGCTACAAAAACTGTGACGATTGATCTTTGGTATGTTGCCCCATCACTGGTAACAGTAGGAGTTGCCTAGAATTGCTCATGTCCAGCCAGCCTGGCTTTAGGTTTTGCCATGAGTTGTCAAGTTGTGTTAAAATCTGTTGCAATTAATAAACTGGATGTGGTATTAGAGCTTGTCCTGAGTATGTGCAAAGAAGAAGGAAATATTTCTGTAAAAGTGAGGCTCTGCTCTGCAGGTGTTAATTGTGGGGCTTTCCTCATCTTTAGCTATCGTGCTAGGTTGGTAACAGCCAGGAAAATCAAAGGACCTGCTTCAATTCTATCAGCAAAGGGCCAGGAAAATGTGAAAACTAGGAGTATGTTGCTATGGATGTGACTGTCTTGGTATAAGCTTCTCTTTATCCAAAAGATAAGTAGAATCATGTTTGATGGATGTAAATCCGCAGTGCCCTGATGGCAGACCTGTGCCAAAGGACAGCAAAGTGCAGTTCCTGCCCTAGTGAGTGGGGAATGAAGTGGGTTTGATACTGAGCTGAGCTGATTGCTTTCCCCCAGTGCTTTAGAGAAAGGTCACTGATCCATCAGTCCCTTTGGGATGAGCACCAGGTGTGATGCTCAGAAGTGATTCTCCTTTTCCCTGTGGTTTTTGGCTTTAGGGTTTGTCCTGTTGGGCAGTTCCATCCTTGATGCATTATAAACTTGGAGTTTTTCAGCGTTTGGAGCTATGGATCCAATATTCAGACATTGGACACAGTGGGAGGATTTCTGTGCTTAGCCTTGAAATGTGATCACAATTTAAGTCCTCTTTTGGTCCCGGTTGGCATTGCTGATGCTTTGGACGATGGAAGGCAACGGCAGGGAAAACAAACAAACTTGGCAGGAAAGTTTTTTATAATGTAAAACTGTTGTTACAGAAGAATATTTCCTTGGAGAGGTTGTTCCTCGTGCTTCTCTCCTGGAATCTGCATGGCACTTCACACACCACTGGAAATTCTGAGACTAATAATGGGGATTAAGTCTGAAATGCAGTTCTGACCTTCCTCAAAGGGAAACTTTGATTTTAAGCTGACTCTTGGGGACTAGGCAAATCAAATGGCATAAAATAAGAAATAAAGGAGAAGTTCTTGCAAATATTAAATGAAGCTGTGTTTAAGGCCTGTAAAAAGTCGATCCAGCTTTCTTCCCTGTTTTGTTTTTTGTTTTTTTTTCTCCTCTATTTTCATACTGATTTTCAAGACTTGGAAAACAGTAGTTTTGATGGATGCTGAGGAGGAATATCAGGTGGCACTTAGGTGGCTTGCTGGAAATCTACGTGCCGACCTCAGGAATCCTGAGAAAGTCCTTTGTGGAGATTCAGAGTTGAGTTCTGTGGTAGGTCAGCATCTGTGGCTACATGACTTCCCAGCAGTGAGGGCAGTTTCAGAAGTTTACGTTACTGAAAGGTATGTGGGTATTTTGAGCAAGAGTAAACTAATGAAAGTTCATTAGTGTTAATGGAATAACCATCCCTGTGAATGAATTCCAACCTGGAGCTCCATCTGAAGGTGTGGATCTTTGAGCTGTATGGAGAATGGGAGAAGCCACTTGGTACCAAGTTAGAGTACCAAGGCTTGATTTTCTTGAATTAGGATGTGTTCAAAGAACTTCAGTGCATTGCAGTGATGTTAACTGAGACGTTTGATAATGTTTGTGTTTTTGATACCACACCTTTTTTCCTCCTCTTGGGCTCAAACAGATCATGTAGGATATGGAGTAATCTGAATGTACCTGGAAGCTGTGATCTTTACAGTCTGTGTAAAATGGTATGTTTCAAGGCAAGAGAAATATGGATTTTCACAAGTATCAACTTCATTTGTAGACAGCCAATCAAACATTTGCAAAAAACAAACAAACAAACAAAAAACACACAAATCATAAAACCAATTCCAATAGAGAAAGCAAATAATTCTATTGAAAATTAAGGTCAGAAAAGGGAGATTATAAATACATATATATATATATTATATTCAGAGCAAGTTCCTTTTATGGTATGTCCAGTTTATTCCAAAGGAAAGTGTTTTTGTAAGCTGGGGTGGGGTTTGCATCCACTTTTCCCATGTATCCCCTCTTTAGTTTATGGGAAACTTAACATGATGTGACAGTGGTGATTGCAGAGCCCTGAAGTTTGCCACCAAGGGCATCTATATGGTGCTTCTGCTTAAGGGGGAAGCACTGTATGGAGTCAGTGCTCTTGGATTTGGTCAGGTTATGACAGCTGCTTGTGCTTAGCTTACTTATCTGTGCTATTTTTCTCAAGCTGTCTTTTGTAAGAGCCTACTAGTTTTAGGTTTTTGAAATTGCTTTGAAACTCACAGCAGCCCTATTCAAAATTAAGCACTGATTTGTATTACAGCCTGGTACCTGTATTTCTTTGATTTATGCTCAGTGCAGTGTGGTTTGGTTTTAGCAGACGCTGAGCACAGTATGACCTGCTGTTGTGTTTTTTCCACCTAGTGCAGGGTTCAAGGTGTCTCCAGAGCAAAAAGGATGGGAACTTCCAGTACTTTTCAGTCAACCTGAAGAGCGAGAGACCTCTTTGTGTATCATCACTTCTTGCTTTGGAACCCAGAACTGCAGCGTGCAATGATGCACAGTTTGAGAGTTTTATTTTTTAGCAGTCCTACTGTAAATCTGATCAACCTTATGAGGAGAGGTGTGGGACAATCATTGCAAGATTGTTTTGTGATGCAAGGGTCTTGTACTGGTGGTCTGCAGCAGTCAGAGTTCTGCTTTTTAGCAATTACCTTCAGTATACTCCTAATGCAGAGGGCCGTTTTCCCCCTGGATTGCATTTTGTTGTGAATAGCTGCTATGAGTACCATGTAAAAATCCCACAGTGACCGTTTTCTGTTTGGTTGGATTTTTCCTGCTTGTTTGGATCTTTATTCTCCTCCTGTTGTGAACTACCTTTCCTTATCCTGTATGCCAGAGATGATGTTGCAGCCTTCTCTTTCCCTCTCTCTCCCTCTCTCTCCCCTCCCTTTCCCCATCTCTACTGTTCCTTTCCCCTGTGTGACCAGACTCAGACGCAGTTGGAGCATGCCCGAATACGGGAGCTCGAGCAGAGCCTGCTGTTTGAGAAGGCACAGGCTGAGAAACTCCTCAGAGAATTAGAGGACACCAGGGTAATCCACTGCCACTTACCCTGCCTGCAGAACAGCGCTTGCCCCACGCTGATGCTCGTGATACCGCTTTGGGTTTCATTTTGGTTTATGCGGTTGATTGGTTTTGGCTTGAATGTAGGCATCCCTGATTTTTATTTGGTTTGGTTTTTCTTTGCTCTCTCCCTCCCTGGAAATGGTAGCACTGTCTGATTTCTAGCTTGGCTTCTTGCGGGGAGGACATGTTTCCCAGATTGAGCTTGCTTCTCTGCCCCATGCCACCATTTGACCATGAGCTCTTCACAACTCATCATTCAATTAACATGCTCAAATAATACCTGCAACCCTGCGCGATTCATGCTGCCCAGAGGCTGCAATAGGAAATAACATTGCAATCAGCATTCCTTTGTCCCTGCTCCAGCCATGGGAGCTGTGGTTCAAAATGAAAGAGCAGTGGTGAGGCCAAATGGGACAGCTCCAATCCTTGTCCAGCAATGTAGGTACGCACTGCCCATGTGAACCTGCACCCAATCCTGAAAGAATCATACAATTGTTAAGGTTGGAAAAGACCTCTAAGATCGTCTCATCCAAATGTCCACCTAGCACCAACACTGCCCGCTAACCCGTGTCCCTTTCCTAAAACACTTCCAGGGATGGTGACTCCACCACCTCTCAGCAACATGTTCCAATGCCTAACTGCTCCTTCTGAGGAGAAGTTCTTCCTAATGTCCAACCTGACAGCTGCCAGATGTGGAAAGATCTTTCTCCTGCTGTTGGGTGATGTGGGAAGTGGCCAGCTCACTGTGATGAGCCTGCTTCTCAGCAGTGGGTTTGTTAGAGTTGAAAACACAACTGTGAGGTTTTTCAAAAGGTTTCTAAATGGTTGGAGTGCCCCTTTGCCCAACTAAAAGCAAAACCGTCCAGTCCTCCTGGGCTGGTGGTTGTGGGGGATACGGCGAATGAAATGGAGTTATTTTGATACTGGGAAATTCAGTTGGTTTCCTTGTTTCTTCTGCTTTTTCCTAATATTTCAGCTGGTCGTATCTCCTCTTCTACATCCATTGCCAGAGCACACCCAACTCCCCGTGACCAGCAGGCAGTTCTGCCCTCTTAGGTTGTGTTCATGTTGTATGGCACTGATCCACAGGCTTATGCTCCCTGTTAACCATCATTAGATTTGTTGTCCCGCATCCTCTAGCCTTATTTTTACTTTCCTGACAAACTCTAACAAGTACTCACGCGTAAAATCCCTTTTCCTTTTTACACCAGGGTAAGCAAATGACAAGCAGAGGTGGGGTCTGTAGGCCAAGGTTTGCTGAGCAAGAATGGAAACATTTTGCTTAATGCTGGTTTCAATGCTTGCGGTCTTCCTGCATGTGCAGTCACATTTCCTCTGTGCATCATCTGGCAAGGTGCCTGGTCTGGAAATATAATGGCCTTTCAGGACATTATTTTTTCATAAACTGCTGATGCTGCTCCCTAGCAAACTTAAAGGGTTTTGTCCAAGGTATGTATTTCTGTCTTGAAAATAAGTTGGCTCCTATTAGAAAAGCAAACCGGCCCAAAGATGTAGCTATCAGTTATCGGTGATAATTACCCTGGTGCAAAACTGTGCTCAGGTTGGAGGGTGCTGGGTGTCCTTCCCCTTTTATTTGAATTTTGACTAACGTACTTCGGATCTACTTCCACCGCAGCCCATTTCCTAAAGGGGTGGGTGCAGCAATGGGCAGTGGGTGCTGACTTTGTCTTCTCTGTCCCGTTGCAGCTGACCACGGTGGCGGAGCAGTCCCGGATCCTGCAGCTGGAGGAGGAGCTGAGCCTGCGGCGCAGTGAGGTGGATGAGCTGCGGCAGTGCTTGCGGAGCTCACACCAGGCAGAGACCCCCGAGCACAGCCTTGGCTTGCAGTCTGAGGCACTTCGTCTGCGGGATCAGCTGCTGTCTGCCAACAAGGAGCACCAGAAGGAGAGCAGCCAGCTGAAGGAGAAGTATGAGAAGACGTTAAAGAAGTACCAGCAGGAGATGGAGAAGCTGAAAGCCGTCAATGAGAAGTATTCGCAAGAAATCGTTGACTTAAAGCATAAGGTTCAGCAGGCCACCAATGAGAACATGGGACTGATGGACAACTGGAAGTCCAAGCTGGACACGTTAGCTTCCGACCACCAGAAGTCTCTGGAGGACCTCAAAGCCACACTGAACACAGGCCCTGACACCCAGCACAAGGAGATTGTGGAGCTGAAGGCGGTGGTGGAGAGCATCAAGATGGAACACCAGCTTGAGCTGGAGAACCTGAAGGCAAAGCATGACATCGAGACGGCTGTTCACATAAAGGAGAAAGAGAGCCTCAAACTGAAGCTGCAAGAGGCTGTGGATGAAGTGGAAAAAAGTAACAGCCACTGGAAAATGCAACTGGAAACCAAAAGCAATCAGCACCTTCTCGAGCTCCAGGACGTGAAGGACAAGTGTCGGGATGCTGAGCTGAGGGTGCATGAACTGGAGAAACTTCACAGCGAATACAAAGATCAGACACAAGCAATAGCTTTCTTGAAAGAGCAGATTTCTTTAGCTGAGAAGAAGATGTCGGACTATGAAACTCTACAGAAAACAGAAGCCCAGAACAAACAGGAGATCCACAGATTGCAGGAAAAAGTGCTTGTCTTAGAGAACAAGCTGCAGTCCATGGAAGCCTTACATCCTTCTCAGCATGCAAATGTATGACTTCTGGGTCATTTTGCTTAGTTGTTATCACTGTTAATAATTCTTCCTAGGAGTAGCACTCAGCTGCTGTCTTGGGCAGTTTGCTGAGGCTTCTGTGGTTTTACTTTCTGTTGATGCTTTTTCTGTGCTGCAGCTCCATTCGGGGACTTTCCATCCTTGTAAGCCATTACAGTAGTATAGAAAGTAAGAGTCAAAAGCAGGTGGGCCACAGTTGGGTTCAAAGCTGTGTTAGTGTTGTGATAGCAGAACGTGGCTGTTGTGGTTTGGCAGGGAGAGGTGCTCATTCTGAGAAAGCAGTGTCCTTAGCTGAAAAAGCATCATTTCTGCTGTGCATCTGTTGTTCTCTGAGGAGCTGCAACAGGCTTCAGGAGCAAGGTCCTCCAGGGGAAGGTGGAGGATAGGGTGAAAGAAGCATTGTGTGTGCTAAGGGAGAACATGGAGTATGATTTGAGAGCCTCAGCAGGGTTGAGCTGGGTGGAAAGCAAGCAGTGTGGCCTCATGGCATATTTGGGAGATGTTAGGAAATGCTGTAATTTATTGGGGTTGTAGTGGGAGAGCTGCTAGCAGGGTTCAGAGTGGCACCAGGCCAGGGAAATAAAATGCCTGATTGAATGAGAGTCCTGAGCCTCCCCCAGGAAGGCTAGGTGAAAGCAGTGGTACTGTGAAGTATGTGACTGACTCACAGGCTTTTCACTAGAGTGAAGCAGGGAGGTTGCCACCCCTGGCCCTAGAGCAGGACCTCTGTTTGTGTTTGGCTTTGGCATGAGAAATGAGCTAGCAGCCAGCTTGAGCTTGTCCACGTGGGGATGAGGAAAAGGAAAATAAGCCATAAAATGTTCACATTTTGAGAACATTCATTTGAAATCTATTACCAGGAGATGTAGTCTGTTCCAGACTGAGGTGCCAGTGAAGTGGATATAATGTCTGTGTTTAATTTGCCAGCATGAACAACCCCACTGAAATCATTTGTACTGCTAGGCAACAAAGTGAAGCCAATGAATTAGTGTTGGCCAAGTCGGAGCCTCATGCCTGCAGAAAGACTTCCTCCACTGAAGAGGAGGAAAAAAGGCTGAGGAGGGATCTGCAGCATTAATGGTCCTTCAAGGGTTGCTCAACATGTTTCCTCTAGTAAAGATGGTCATGAACAATAAGTACAGCTGTGGCCCTGGGAAAAGCGAGTTGTTATTACAGTGCATCATATATTATAGCCAAGATTTAAAAAAGAATGAATATGAAAGAAACTTGAGGCTTGTTCCAGAGCCATTTAAATAAGTGAGAGGGCTCTGGGGATTTTATTGGTATTGGATTAGAACCAGGAAGTCTTGAAGTAATTATTTTTAAGTGTGTGTCGATTAAAATCAGGAAAACTTGGGAAGAAACCCATTGATGAAAGCCTTTGAGTGTCATAGAATAAATTCTATCTTAAAACAGCTAATTTTATGTGACTAGCTATCCAAATATTTTGAGCAAACCAATGTCTCATGATTGTGAACGTGCCTTCTTTCCTATGTCTCCAAGTGAGAACAGAGCAGTTAAATAGTTTTCTGTGCCAGAAATGCATCAGGCAACGTGTTTCCCCTTCAGGTGTGCTCCTGCTTCTATTCAAGCTTGGTCCTGCAGTGTGCATGAGCTGCTGGGGCTTTCAGCAGTGGTGGCTGCAGCAATTGCTCAGTCTGAACATTGTGTCCTAAAGTCCCACCAAAGGCTGCTGGATGGGAGGAGGCTTCAAGTGCTGAACTGTAGCCTCTGCAATGGAAAACATTTTTATTATTTACTTGTTTGTTAGTAAGCAGGTAGAAGTCAAAGGCTGGTAGTTGCATGGTGCCAAATTGGACAGGTAATGAAATTTCATGCTGTAGCTTACCTGAATCAGCCTTGAGATGAAGCCTGAAATCTGGGAAGTGGATGTTTGGCAACTGTGTGCAGCTCAATGGTGTTGTGGGGGAGAAATTACCCTGGCTGGGGCAGAAGTGAAGTCTCCTGGGTTGGGATGGATTTTCCCTTGTTAGGGGGTTGTACAGTGGCCACCCTCTCTCCAGGGTGTTTGGGATTCCCTTGGAATCTCCTGGCCATTTGCACTGAGCGCGGGGAGAAGAACTATAGGATTTTGTGGGAAAAGAAAGGAAAAAGTGAGAGGGGATGCATGTGAGAGGATTTCCATCTGTATGAGAGTCCATGCTTCTGTTGGGTACCATGCAGCAGGTACAAGTGCAACTGTGTCACTTGGTACACACTGCCCAAGGGCAGCCTCTCCATGTTAATACTGCTGTGGATGTTGTCCATGTGTAGGCTGGGCACAGTTTGATGCCGTTTGTCTGGCTTCCATTTGAGACTGTCGTGTCTCAAGAAGACTGACAGTCTGTGCTCTTCCTGAGGTCTGCACTGTTTTAATTGTACTCATTAATGCTTCAGGCACATTGTTTCTCTTGGTGATCCTATGGAACTATGCCTGTGCCATTCCCATGTGGGGTACCTGGGGGTAGTGCTGTGTTATTCCAAGTTGTTGTCTTTAATAAGTGTATTTGCACCCAGTGGAAGTGTTTGCCATTGTCTAAGCCTCATGAGGTTACAGATGAGATGGAGATCTTTGTACGTTTTTCTGAACAGGGGCAGTCTTGAGGTGTTGATGAGAACACATGAACAGCCATCCCAAAGGGTGTGCTTTATGGAGTGGTGCTGGATCAGGAGACCTCTGGTAGTACCCAAGTGGAGAAGCAACTCCACAAAAGTTTGCTTTCCTCTTGGAAGACTGTAAAGCATCCAGACTTGGGTGCAATCCCACTTCTGCTGCTTGGATGGGGCTTTGTGGTTGTTGGTTTTGCTTTGAGTTGAGGGCTGTTTAATATCTCATATTCTACATTTATTTCAGATGATTGATACTAATGATATTTCAGAAGAGAAGATAAGGATGAAGCAGACCATGGAAGGTAGGTCATGAAGCATTCCAGCAACTCACGTGCTGTCCCTTCCTCTGCTGTTCTGCGCTTGCAGGCACAGCTACATGAAAGGAGCTTGAGAAGTCATGTTTTTCTTTTTTTTCTTCTTTTCTTTTTTTTAATGTTTTTTTTGCTAGACAGCATTTGCTGTCTGCCCCCTCTAATGTAGAGGTGGTGGTTTTCATTTTTTGTTGTGCACTCACCATGTAGGTGGTGCAGGTTGGGGACAGGTCTGGGGAAAAGGGCTCGCTCCATCCCACCCTTATGTTACAGAGGTAAAACATGGACACTGAGCATACTGTGCTTCTATAAAGGCACTTCTCATGGTAGATATTTTTATTAAGCTTGCTATACATCATATCCATCCTTTGAATAAAGCCCAGAATTTATCACTTGGGAAGTTTATATGATGTCGCTTGGAAGATGAATTGCTTTTAGCCTCCCTGACCAAAAGGGTGAGTTGTGACTCCCAGTCCCAGCAACGACAGAGTTGCACGATTGCACCTGAATGACCCAGACAGACTCTGGGTCTCTCTTCCTCTTGAGAAGGATGTCCTTGAGTTTGGTCCTTTGTGGAGAATTTGGGGCTGATCTGAGATGCCTGAGATCCTTCCTGATCACCCCTTCTCTTGTTCATTCCTACAAAACTCAGGTTTCTTCATTCTTTCTTAGGGTTTATTGGTCTGTTTTTAGCAGAAAAGCCTTGCCAGATGACCAAGAGCTAACTTGTCACTTCCATTTTCAAATAGTACTTGGTTTATAGTTATATCTGTTTCTCAATTATTCATCTCTAAGGAGTCTGTTTTCTGCAAATCCCTTTTTAAAGCCCTTCTGAGGATGCAGCAATCTAAAAGGAGATCACTGGGACTTTTCCAGGAACTTAGATTTTGCTCAGAGTTTCATTACCCTTTATTTTTGCTCAATTTTTGCTTTCTTAAACCTGTATTGTTGGCTTCCTAGCTGTGTAACCTGCCTCCTCATGCCTCCTAGTGCTGAGTGGTGGTGAGGTGCAAGGTGAAGAATGTGCGTTACCCCTCTGCTGCTGCTTCTCTGCTGATGTGGAGTTGCCTCTGGTGCCCATCACACCCCATTTATGGCACTCTGAACCCTGACCCTAGATTCAACACCTTCCTGATTTGCACAGAAGGTTTTCTAGGCTTCTAATCCTTGTCTTTTCTTTTCATCTCACTGGAGACCTTCAAGACAAACTGAGTAAAAGAGACAAAGAGGTGTCATCGCTGGTGTCCCAGACCGAAGCCCTAAGGGCCCAAGTAAGTGGTAAGTTTCCCTAATCCAGTGCAGGTGGGAACAAGGTGCTTCTTTGCTCATCTTTCATCTTTCTGTTGAATAAGAGCCCAGGTGCTCAAAGACAGGTGTAAAACATGTAAAAACATGTAAAGAAAACGTGTAAAGACATGTAAAACATGGCACCGTCTGTTAGTGGGTGCTGCTGGTAAAAGTTTGAGAGTTCTAGTCCAAGAGAACACAGGATTGAATCACAGAATGGATCAGGTTGGAGGGGACTTTAGAGATCATCTGCTTCCAACCCCCTGCATGGGCTGGTTGCAAGCCCTATCCAGCTTGGCCTTGAATGGCTCCAGGGATGAGGAACCCACAACCTCTCTGGGCAACCTGTGCCAGCACCTTGCGGCTCTCTGAGTAAAACATTTATTCCTAACATGTAACCTAAATCTCCCCTCTTTTATTTTACAGCCATTCCCCATTGTCCTGTCTCACATTGTGTAAAAAGTCAGTCCTCCTCCTCCTGCTTTGTAAGCTCCCTTCAAGTACTGGAAGGCTGCAATGAGGTCTCCCTAGAGCCTTCTTTTCTGTAGAAGGCATTTGCATGAGCGAGGAGGGGTTTGGGCTCACTGGAGGAAACAGAGAAACAAACAGAGCTTGGTGTGATGTTCCTGAAATCTTCCCTTAAACGGGGCCAGATCCAGAGCTTACCAGCCCTGTGTTTTTAAGACTGAGAACTGGGAAAGGCGAAAGTAGAAGTAATTAAAGGACTAAGCAACTTTTCTTCCCCCTTGTATCCTCTGCTTCTCCTAGCTTTGGAAAACAAATGCAAAACCACGGAAAAGAAGGCAGATACGGTGTTAAAAGAAAAGAAGAGGCTGGAAGGGGAGCTGGAAGCCTTGACCAGGAAAACACACGATGCATCGGGGCAGCTGGTCTTGATCAGCCAGGAGCTCCTCAAGAAGGAAAGGTCAGTGTGCAGGACGTGTGTGTGCTCAGAGTGCTGTAACTACTATTAACCCCAGCTGGAATGTCCTCACCTCTTGTTGCTGTTGCTTCCAGGAGCCTGAATGAGCTCAGAGCACTGCTGCTGGAGGCAAACCGGCACTCACCTGGGCCTGAGCGTGACCTGAGCCGGGAGGTGCACAAGGCCGAGTGGCGGCTGAAGGAACAGAAGCTCAAAGATGACATCAAAGGGCTGCGAGAGAAGCTGGTTGTGCTGGTGAGAGCCTCAGAGCCCCTCCTGGCCTTGGATGTGAGGTCGGAGGGCTCTGTGCTGTGCTGTAGGGCTCACGCCCGTCGCTTCTGCTTCAAACCACCGATGATTGCATTCGTAAAATCGTTAAGGCTGGAAAAGACCACTAAGATTATTTAGTCCATTTGCTATTGAGCATCTGATGGGAGCTTCCCTGACTGTGCCTGGTGTAGCAGCACCCTGTTAAGCAGTAAAACATGTGTCCATCCTCCCCCACTGCTTCCCTGTTCCCAGAGATCTCAGATCCATGGCTAACAAGGGCTAACACTGTTGGGAGAAACTGGAGGGCCGTCAGTTCCCCTTGCTGCTTATTCCTAGGTCATAAGATGAGTAAAACAGTGTCCTCTAATTCCTATGTACTTCAGTGTCCTCCAGTGGTTGAAATGTGAATAACGTTTGCAGCGTTGGGAACAGATGGGAGCTGTGCTGGTTGTGTTTGACGCCATAGAGCTGTGCTCTGGCCCCATCTACTGTTGAAACCAAAACACAATTCTATTGAGTTACTGCAGATCTGTACTCAGTTTCCTCAATGATTGGTTCTAATGCAAAACATCCCTGTTTCCACTCTGTTGCACAAGGACAAGGAGAAGGCAGTGACGGACCAGAGGCGGTTCTCCCTGATCGACCCCTCGTCGGAGTCGGAGCTGATCCGGCTGCAGCACCGCCTGGTCAGCACCGAGGATGTGCTGCGCAACGCCCTGGAGCAGGGCCACCAGATGGAGAAGCTCATGGAAGCCATGAGGCTTTCCTCGGAGAAAACACAGGTAGAGCACACAGATGTCTGTTGCCCAGGTCACTCATCTGTTCCAATGTAGATTTCGTGTGAATTCTTCTTTCTTCCAGGAAGAGAAATATTTCTTGCTCTTGGATTTAAAAACAAAATAAAACACAAGCTGTTAGTGGGATAATTCTTAACTGATTTATAATGTACTTTAGAATCATTTTTACAGTGTGAAAGTTGATCCTTTCTGCCATCTCTGCTCTTTGAGGGAGGTTTTCTTGCTCTCCTTAAGCACAAACTTCAGAAGCGACTCTGGGAAAACATTCCTTATTTCTCCTATGAACTCCTGGAGGCAGGAGTACCTGATCTAAGTATGCTGCTGTACCACAGTGTTCCCACTCAAGTTGCTCTCTTCTCTTCCCAATTTATTCTAGTATACCTGTGTTTCTTCCCAGAAGGCAAAACTGCTTCTGTTGTTGTCTTGCACCTTTCCTTGTGAAAACGAGGGCTACAAATAAATGAGCTCTTCATGTTTGGCCTTTTCTACCACATACCTGAGGTGTTTAAGTCCTGACTGATTCCTCCAGTGCAGTGACCTGCCCCTTGTGCCAAGCTTTTAGCTTTGTAGGGTAAGAGAATGGCTTGGGTTGGGAGGGACCTTAAAGATGGACTCGTGTCCTCTTTCACTCTAGTTGTATTTTCTCATCTGCTATCAGGTGATGGCTCAGGTGCTTCTCTGATACTTGCTCACTTAAGTTCTGAGCTTAAAAGTCTTTTTTTTTTTTTTTGCAGTATTAAGTGGCAGTTCAAGTTAAGATGGACACAGAGTAGTACACACAAGCCGGTGGACAAGGACAAGGGGCAGAGTTTTACCCAGTGCAAGTGTAGATATGTTGTGCTAGGTAATATGGGGGTGCTGTGTCTTATTCTCTCACTGCCTTTGTACAGTTTGCACATGCTCCAAAGGGCCCTTTGCATTGCATGGAGGCAGGCAGGGGGATGCAAGGTTGAAAGTGCAGTTCTGAGAGCAGTGCTGTCTCAGCTGAACATCAAGCTGGTGCTGACATTTCCTTCCATCCTGCAGTGCTGTCTGCTGGTACCAGACAGGATAGCTGTGGTGATGACAAATTTGTGGCAGTCTAGGACATGCCATAATACTGTCAAGGCCCCCAGAGTGACTTCTGCTCCTGCTGTTAATTGCTGTGTGTTAAATGAAAATGCATCATGACAGCCTTGGCTGTTGTAAGCTATGGGAGGGGTGGGGAAAGTTATTCTGTTTGCTTTAATGCTAAGTCCCCTGAGACCAGGAAATCCTCCTTTCCACCTTCCTGGCTCCAGGGGTGGTGCAGGTGGTGATTATTTCTTCCCCAGCTGGAGAAAATAACCTTAAAGTGAATTGGAACAGACTTCATGAGGTCAGCTAATCTATCCTTGGCATTCCTGTGATACCTTCATGCTAAGGTAATCCTTGAGATACGACAGGATAGCATTATGCCTTCAATTACAAACTGCAGTACCGAGAGACAGGGAGCGGATTACGGAGGGAATTGGGCTTCACACTTCCATTGATGTCAGGTTTATGAAGTGCCCAAGTTACGAGGAAGTCTGGATCAAAAGCTCTCAGGTTTCAGCATGATGTCTGCTTGTCCTTTTGCCTATGAGGGGGAGCTGTTAACAGGGATTTTGGGCTGAGCCTGAGGACGTTGCTGGCCTGAAGAGCTCCAGGTGCAATACTTCTGGAATTGGTAATGCTTCTCGAGGAGCCATGTTTCCGCTGTAGCCCATTCTGCAGTGCCTTCTGACCTCCTGTCTCCTCTCTGACAGCAGCTGCTGCCCAGGGATCTGGCTTGGCATTGTTTGCAGAGCCTTCACTGTGTGCTTGAGGAGGAAATCTCTAATTACCACGAGCTGCTGCTGTTCTCCCTTTGCAGGCTTAGTCAGCCCCTGCGCTCTGCAGCCCTTGATGTGCATGGCTGGCCTTGCTGTTAGGCAAGGAGACTCAGGAGCTGGGGGAGCATAATGGCACCGTATGTCTTTGTCTCGTTGTCTTGTAATTGCTGCCTCGCTGTGCAGCTGCAAAGTACTTGTCCTATAATAGAAGAGGGTCTTTCTGTCTTGGGAGACCCTGATCTCCCAGCTTTGCAGGAAATGACAAGGATTTGGCACTGAGACCTTTCCTCAGAATGTATGCTGTGATTGCTCTGGGAGTCTATTTAATTTCAAGTGAATTACACCACTTTGTATTCATTATTGTGAGCATGCACTGAGATCAAATTTCCAACCTGATTCCTGGCACCCCGGCTGCTCCGTGTACGGATGGGTGTTCTTCAGCCAGGTAGGAGATGCTGGCATGCACAACATGTGCACTGCTTTGGCTATGGGTGCAGCAGCCTAGGGCCAAGTCAGCACAGTGGCTTTATTCCTCCATCCATCCAGGCAAGACTCAAGAAGGACATTCAGTGGGGTTCCTAAGCGATGCATTTAAGCCTGGCCGTCTTGTCTCTCCCCATAACTTCTGGTTTTGCTGTCACCAGCAATCCACCAACAACAGTGAATCTGATTACTGAGACCCAAAGAACTAACATGTGGCATGCTATGACTTCAAGCTGCAGCTTTCTCCTCTTGGTTGTGCAGGTTGTGCTGTCATTCGGAAGCTGAAGGGCTCCGTATTATCCCTGCTGAAGTAACATTATAAATGTTTAAAGTTCTTGGGCTTTCTAAAGATAGAACAGCCTGTCCTGTCTGCCAGGCTTGTCCCCAGGGATGGGAAATGGGGAATGGCGATGTCCTTTTTGCTGCGGTGATGTTCCCTGTGCTGAGCTGTCTGCAGCTAAAGCTGCCCTTGGCTCACAGTTTGTTTACCAGGATTTAAGGGTCAGAAGTGAAGAGTTGTTCTGTGTCCGTGTAGGAGCTCAGGGGATGTTTTATAGCTGGGAAGGATGTAATCCCTAATGTGGGGGCTGGGCCAGGATGCAGGGATCAGGAAGTTTCTTGCCAAAAATGATGTGATGTTTTTGCTTTCCTCTGTCCTTGCATGGAGTGGCCACTGAGTGTTGCTGGGCTGCCAAGGGAGAAGGCAAACCTACCTCAGTCCTTGCAGGCAAGCACCGGTGTCCCTCTTCAGTAAGCACTGTCTGTTCTCTATTGCAGCCTGTTGGAAATTCTGGGTCTGCTAATGGGATTCACCAGCAGGATAAATCCCACAAGCAAGAGGTAAGTTACGAGCAGAACGTTGTTTAAAATGGTGACTGTGACTTTCTTGCCTGCTTTGCTGGGGACAGAATTTGGATGGGGACAGTTCTGCCAACACAGCAAGTTGCACCAGTGTTTCCCACGTGTGGAGAGAACACTACACTATTACAATCTCTGGAAGTCACCAGGAGGATGCTCCTTGGTGTGCCTCCCACCAGCAGCAGGCACTTGCTCTGGGGGGAAGCAGCTGGGAGTTTGTCCTCTGTCTCCTGGGTCGGTTGCCTGTGTGACTTCTGGCAGGATGAGCCAGGACCTGCTCAGTCTCAGATCTGCCACCCCCTTCACAGAGTGGCTTTCCTGGGCCGTGCCATCCTGCTCTCTCCTGCTGTTCGTAATGCAGGATAAGGTCTGAAGCCTCAAACTTCACCCGCCCCTCAGGGGGGCCTGAGGAAACAGCACTATGGCTTGCTGGTCAGTGCAGAGGGTCAGGACACAGAAAGCCTGGATTCCCAGTCCTGGCAGCCCACTCTGCAGCTCAGTTTCCCTTTCTGTCAAAAGACCTCAGTGCTTGCCCTCATTTTTGCTAATTGAGTCTTTTCTTCCAGGAGAAGCTCTGATAGAGAAGAGGTGAAGATGATCATTTCATGCCGGTATCAGCTCCTGTGCACAGTCAGGAAAAACAATACCACATCTGGCTTTAGCACCTCCAAAAGACTAGACACAGTATTTTCACTTTAAAGAAGGACAATGTTCATAGTGTACTAACGGATGTAATCGGGACAATCCTGGAGCCCAGTTTTCCAAGATAGCTGTTGTTCCAGGAGGGAGCAGGAAGATCTCTCTGGGTTTGGTTTCTTACCTGTATTGGTTTGGACTGTGGAATTTGTGTTGCTTGAGCTGCCCTTGTCCTACCAGCAGTCTGAATGATGGCTGTACCCTATGGTAGCTGAGGTGTCAGTGAGTCCCAGCAGCCCCACGGGAGCTGCAAAGGGATTTGCTTATGGTGTTGAACACTGAAGCATGTCCTGCTGCCCACATGGTCTGTCCCTTCCCTCCCACTCACCCCAAAGGCCTGCACAGTGCAACCTGCTGGGCTGGTGGCTCACTGGGACGCGTAGGCTGAGGGAGATGGGGTGTGCGTTTCCTTCCCTGCCTTGTAGAAGACATATCTGGTTGTGCAGCATGGAGGCTTCACTTGGTACTTGTAGCACAGTGTGTCATGCGAGATGGTCTGATTTCAGAGGGTTATTTATTTTGTTTCTCACCCGCTGCAGTTTGGGGAAGGAGTGGTGCTGTGTCCCTGTGGAGCAGGGCTGCTCTTCTGATCCATTGCATCTGTATGGGGGGGGGGAGGGGGGCTTCAGAGCACCAGACCCAGACAGCAGCTCACTGCTGGGAGCACTCATGCAGTAGGGGCTGTCTGCATTTGATGGCTACAGAAATCCTGTGTGTGGACACGAGCAATTGGAGCAGAAGGAATCCAAGGCGAGAGCCCACACGGCTCTCATGTCTGTGCACAGCAATGCAGGCTCAGGCAAGCACCCAAATTTGCATCTGGAATCCCGAGTGCTCAGAGCAGCACGTGGGTGCTGCTGTGTCCTGCTGTGGCTGTGGTGCAGGCAGGCAAAGGAAGCACACAGTTTGCTTGGTCGATTGTTCCTTCTGTTGGAGGCTTTGCTTCTCTCTCCATCTTTGCACCAGAGCTCCAGGGACTTCAGGATGTGTGCAGTAAGGGGAGAATGTGTTCTTAAAGCTGTGAGGCAGCACCCTATGAAGTCCAGTTCAGATTCACTGTTGGATGCTACAGTGAAAACAGGAGGAAATAACAGCAGTCACTTACCAGGCTTCCCCTGGTTGCCTGATCCCTCCAGTTCTCAGTTGTTCTCCTGATACGACGGGGCTCCTGTGAAAGAGGACAAGGCAGAAAAGGGCACTGGGAGAGATCTGAGCCAGGCTATGGGCAGATGAATATCACTGCATGTCAACTTTTTGCCCTCATTTCCTATGAAATTGTGCAATTTTTGTTAGCGGGTTGCCAGATTGATGTAATGCTGGACCTTGCTCACTGGTTGCAGGGTTGATGAGTTCTCCTTCTGTTGAAAGGGTGCAGGAGGGGAGAAAGAAGTGACTTCAGGGAGTGCAACAGGTCAGCAAACACAGCTATGTCTGGCTTAAGGAAGTGTGTGGGATCCATTAGCTGGAAATGATGCTGGTGGGATCCATCCTGCCTGGTGGAAGCGTTTAATCAGTTCTTACTACCTGGAAGAAGCACTGGGACTTTCCAGGGGACCAAAATCCTGGTTGGTGTATTCAGTTGCTCAGGAAAATCCCAGTGACAGCATTCCTTGTTCCAGCTTGCAACAGCCAACACCTCAGTGCTGTTCCTGAGAATTCAGGGTTGGTGTTCCCCAAAGTTCTCCTGAAGTCCCTGCAGCAGCTCCTGGTGCAGGTGGGCGAGCTCCATTCCTTTGTTACTTATATTTTCCTTGATTGGTTTTTTGGTGACTTCCTCTATAGCTGAAAGATTGTTTGAGTTTTCCTCTTCCCTCTTTGAACTCTTGCTGTGTGCAGGGCAGGATCCCCAGGAGTGGTTATGGGGAGCACGCTCCATTAATTCATTGCTGCTGCAACTTCTCCAAGGCAGCAGCAGGTGGGGCAGAGGTGGCCTAAAGTGAATGCTGCTGGTCTTCCCTGGCTGTATGTAGCTGTGCTGCTCCATGCACTCAAACCAGGAGGTGGGGACTCTCCTGGCCATGCTGACATGGGCAGCAGGGTGTAACTTGGTCCTCGTGTGCAGGTCTGTGGGAGCTGCTCGCTGGGCACAGGACGTGCTGTCACACATCTGGGTTCCACCTGAGCACACAGAGGTGGCTGGGGCTGAGGTGGGACCTCTGCTGGGATCCCCAGGGACAGGCAGACTCCAAACCAGGGACACGCTGGGAAAGGGCAAGGAGGACGTTCCCCAGCCCCTCTATTTATTTGTAAGTTTAATTGCTATTTTTGCCTATATGTGGTGGTGTATAAAGTATTTCACAATATTCGGTCTTACTGGCTTCGTTCTTTGGGGGAGATGTCCAAGGGCATCGCAGCACGGACGCACCCATCCCTTGGTGGTGGCCAGGGACCAGCCCTGTTTGTGCCTTTACTCCACCTCCAGCCCCGAGGGCGGTGCGGGGGCTGCGTCCCACCTCGCTCCCACCCTGCTGAGCGATGGGCTTCTGCTGAAGGCTGAGACATTGTCAGGTACATCACGGCTCTGTTTGGTGATTCCTTCTCTCTAACCCTCTCGACCAAAGGGAAAAATGGGTAAATCGGCGTTGGGTGAGTTCAGCTTTATCCCTCCTGCAGCACCCGAGCTGAGGGATGGGTGCTGAGGCTCTGTGCCGTTGCCTCCCCCCTCTGCCTTGCAGTAGAGATGCATGAGGGTTTTGTTATAACAAGAAGATGCAAATGACACTGTAGAAGTCTTAACAGAAATTCCAGTACTCCGTTGTTCTGCAGCTTTAGCAGCTCAGCACTACCTTGTAGGGAATGATTAATACACTAAGATCCTATAGGCCTCATGTAAGTTACCAGAATAAAGATGTTACTAGATGTATAAATGGATGATAACCTTTTACTCGTACAGTATGTATGACAATTTTGTAGATTAGTCATTTTTTGGCTATCAGATTTTGTTAGTATGATATATAAAAAAAGACAAAAAAAAAAAAAAAAAAAAAAAAAAAGGTTTGACTGCTAATGTCTATTTTGTTATTTGATCCATTTTATTTCTTCTGTACAAAAGCTGTACAAATCTCAGTCTGTGTAACTCCTCCCCATCTGTATCCATGTACAACCCCCCCTCCTGGCTTGCTGCTGTTGGTGAGCTCATTACTAAACAATAAAATCTGTGGCTGATATTTGCCCCAGTGCTGCTGTCCCTTCCCAGCAGCCCAGGGCCCCTGAGGCTTTGTTTCTTCCCACTGTCCTTAAACTCCACTGGGCGTGGAGTGTTGGGGTCTCCCTGAAGAGCTGGATTTGGGCTGCAGGGGCCCTCAGTCACCACGTTGGTTGCTTCTTGCTCAGGGACCGATAGCACCCAGCAACTGTTGGCTTTGCTGGCTCCCAGTGCTTGAAAGGAGAACAATTCTGGGATGTTGACCCCTGTGCTGTGCTCACTGCCTCTGTCACTGGGAAGAGAAGGCTCTGGGGAGAGCTGGCAGCAGCCTTTCAGTATCTGAAGGAAGGGCTGCAAGAAAGAAGGGAGCAGGCTCTTTAGTGGGGTCTGCTGTGAACAGACCAGGGGAAATGGTTTCAAACTGAAAGAGGGCAGATCCAGGCTGAATGTAAGAACAAGGGTTGTGAACCTGGAGCGGGTTGCCCAGAGGTTGATGTTGGGGTGGTTGTCGCAGTGGATGCCCCAACCTCGGAGATGTGTGAGGTTTCAAGGTCAGCCTGCTCAGTGCGGGTTGGTTGGATGGCCAACACGAATCCTTCAGTGCTTCTATAAAATCACTTACAGGATGATGGGGATGGAGCCAAAGCCTTGTCTCTCTCTGGCTGTCCATCTGGGTGCCTCTGTCAGCATGGCGCCCCAAACCTGGCCATGTTTACTGTGCATTTTGCCTTTATGGGCTGCTGCTCTCAGCTCTACTCAGGGCCCCAGGCCCTGCTCAGGGCTTTGCTCTCTTGTAGCTCTGCTGTGCAGTTCATCAGCTGCAATCAGGTGCCCAAACCCCTGCTATCTCCCAGAGATAACACCGCAGCGTGCGCCTTTGTTTGCAGACACAACATTTCAGTGCCGTTAATCGTTCAGCAAAGATTAATAAAACATGAAGTTTAAAGATGCCTAAATCACAGTGGGGGAGCTGGTAATCTCTGCCAACAATAATATTTGCACTTTATTTTCCTCTTCCCGTGGAGCCGAGGAGTGGAGCACCGCGAGCGCACAGCGGGATGGGGTGGTGATGTGAGTTCAGCCCTGGGGTGGGAGGGGGAAAAGAAGGGGAGTTGGTGACCCCTATATGGGGTCTATGTGGATGCAGCCATGGGGGATGTCCCTGTGAGGCGTCTCCTTGAGAAGGGATGGGTGTAAGAAGGGCACCCATGGAGCATCCACCGTGCAGCTCTGCACTGCGTGCTGTCTCAGTGCCGAATGGTACCAGAAACAAACTTTCTCCCACCACAAGGGTACATCTGCCCCACCTCTCTCCTGTCTAACAAGCATCCCTGTCAAAATAGCTTATTTCCTTCCAGAACAAAAAGTCACCTGAATACATTTGGAAGCTGTGTTGTGCTATCGGAGTAATCAGAATTTAATTTGATGCAGTCGAGGCTCTAAAAAGATGTTATCAAGGGAAACATCAAAGCTGGATTCCTGCACTTGGAAATGCAGTTGGAATGCTTAGTCCAGATCTCTTGTTTTATCAGAGGCTTTCAAAAAATCAGTCTAAATAACAAAAAAAAAAAAAAAAAAAGAATATTGAGAGTATTTGCAAATTAATGTCTTTTGTAGCTGAACAAAGGCCACTGTCTAACCTACTTCTTTTGCATGTCTGGGACGGTCTCTTATTAAATCCTAATTATACAATTTTGTTGTGTCTAATCACTTCTGCGCTTGCAGGAATTGAAGCCCAAAAATTCACTGCTGTTTTTGCTGCACTGCATTTATCTTCTGGGTGAAGGAGGGCTCCCCCCAGTGAGCGGGGACCCATGGGGATGGGGACCTTTCCTTCATCCCGTGCCCACGATCTCTCCTTAGGGCTGTGGGTTATTCCCAACACTCAGGAAGGCTGTTGAGAAGCTCTTATGTTTTTGGGGGTGTTTTACTCCATTTTGGAGGCACTGCTGTGTGACAGCAGCTGATACTGGGCTGGAGGATGGCAGAGCGGTGACCGTAACCCCGTTTACTTCAGCCATCACCAGCTCTATGCCAAACCCAGGCTGTCGTGCTGATGAATTAGTGGTGATTCACCCCTTCCACTGATGTTCCTGCAGAACCTGAGCCTGACACCATCACCTACTGCCTTGGGGACAGCTCTGTCCTCAGCTTTTGCCCTCAGAACTGTGGCAGGGGAGCTTTGGGGAAAAGGAGATTGGGGCAACATCGTTAGGGAAATAGCACAGATCTTGTGTTCAAGCCTTTTGAAGTGTTAATTAAAAAGAATTATGCAAAGGAGAGAGGATTTGAAACATTCATTTGAATCTCAATAAAGCATCTGTATTAAAAATAGCAGTGGGATCAACTACAGATATAAGCATTTTTGAGAAAATTGGGTGTGAGGGCCGGTGCCTGCATCCCCATTGCCATCGGGGTGCTGGAGGGCAGCAGGTCCTGCCTGGGAGAACCTGGGGAAGTGCTTCCTCTCTAATATTGAAGTATCTTGGAAGCATGTTATCTAAAAGAGCCCATGGGATGCAGCGCTCAGCTCCAAGCAGAGAGGGCAAGTGGGTGCCTGGCTGCTGGCAAGGTGGGAATGAGGCTGGGAGCAGCCCAAGGGCACTCCGTGTGGGGTAGGAGGCACCCGGGGCTGATCCCAGCCCCCAAATCCCCCCCGTTGACCCCCAAGTCCTCTTCCAGGCTCGTACCTCCCCATCAAAGCCCCTCATTAAAATCCCCTGCACGTCCTGGCCCTCACTTGTTCCAGTAAAAAGCATCCAGGGTATTAATTATCAGATTGGTGGATAACATCGTTAAGTTTACTTTTCAGCTGCACAGATCCACTGGGAATGCCAATCTCTCTTGCCCTTGACATTGGTGCTGCAAGGCCACGAGGGGGCAGGTGCCCTGACCAGCACTGGGACTGCATGGGGCAGAGCATCAATGGCACCAATGGTTTGGGGTCTTTGGGGTCATTCCCAGTATGGGAGAGGTCCATAAGGATGTGGGTTCTTTGGGGAGGTTGACTTTGCTGGGCAGCAGGCTGGGGAGGTGCAATTAGGGGCTGAAAGCAGATTGGGTAGGGTGAGGAGCTGCCCAATGGGATGGAGCTGGACCCAAAGCCGTGCTGCAGAGCCACACAGGTCTCAAGGGCTGGGAGGAGGTTCCAGCTGTAACCGTAGAGTTGTATTAAAAATGCATGAGTGGCATCCTCGCCTTGTGAGACCATCCCAGCCCCATCTGGATGCTGAAATATGGACCTTGGAGCCAAGAGGGTGGTTGGGTCGTTGGAGCCCCTCAAGTCATCAGCATCCCTCCCAGTGCCTCTGGCACAATCCTGGCTCCCCAGCTTTCTGCCTGCCACTCCTTTCTGCTTTTTGGGTTCAGAATGGATGCTGGGTTGGGAAGTGGCAATGTCACTGCTCAGCTCCCCAGGATGCTGTCTGGGAGTTGCCTCTGCAGGGTTCCCATTAGCATGGAAATAATTCAAGAGTGAAGGCGAGACAACTGGAAAACCATTTTATCTGTTGCTCCGGAGCAAACTATTTTTGCAGCACGGCGTTCAAAGAGCCACACAAATGCAGACAGCTGGCAGCACAGATAGATATGTTAAAGGCAGATAGAGATTGTAAATATTCCATGCAAGCCTTCCTTGCTGCCCCAGCAGGCAGGGAATGGAGGGACTGTGATTTTTTTTATCTTTCTACGGATGTGTTTGGGACCGATGGATACCAGCTCTGGTGGTGCAGTGCTCTTGCCAGCATTGCTCAGCAGCGCAGAGATGTTGCTGAGGAAATCTCCCCCCGCTTTCCCTGCCCCTGGTTTTGCTCTCTGCCCCTCCTGCATCCCACATTTGCACTCCCCACCCGAGGCTCCCACTGTCGGTGCTCTTGATCTATAATTCAGAAAGCATTTTGTTGTGCCGGGGTACAACACCCGAAATACACCAACACAGCGCCCCTCTAGGGAGGGAGAACTCAGACTCGTTCTTCCTATTACATTTCTCCTGACCTTTCTGAAACTTTTTCTCTATTTCCCATTCTAAAGAAGTGTCTTTTTGTGTGTGTGTGTGTGCTCTCCAATTCCACCGAGAGAAGGAAGGAATCAGCATATCAGAGAAAACAACCATCCTTGTGATGCCCAGCAGTCACTAATTAACAAATTAAAAAAAAAAAAACAAAACCCAACATATATCTCTTTATGCAGATAGAATTGTTTTCTGGCTCTGTCGCCTTTTCTTTTGTCAGCGCCGTGACAAGGAAGTGCTTTATTTCTGCAGTGAGATCAGATTAAAACGTCCCTCTCCGAGCGCGTTCTCCTCGCTGGCTGTTTTTGTTAGGCGCGTTGTTTCAGCCCCAGATAAGATGTTTTGCCCACACGCTTTCATCCCATTGAGGCGGTTTTCCTTTTCATCGGAGACTTCTGCAGATGTTCAAACTGCAGCAGAACGTGCAAAGCTTTGCCTTCAGCCCATTGGGTGGATGTCCCTGTAGGACGCATGGATGCTCCATCTGGGGAACATCTGGGGCAGCTCCAGGTGCCCCCCCTCCCCCTGGCACCCACAGGTGAGCTCCCAGCCCTGCCCATGCTGCATTCCCAGCCTTCTCTTCCTGTTTTTCAGGATGGATTGGGACTCTCCCTCTGCAATCCTCCCCAAACCCCTGCCTATTGCATAGGGCACGGCCGGGTTGCAGAATGGAGATGACATGGGGATGACACGGACAATGTCCATGGGCTCACATGGGTCCACAAAGCCCATTTCCCCCAATGTTCCCCTGACACGAGGTTTCCCAAGCAGTGACACAGAGCTGAGGTCCCAGGGAGGCACTACAGGAGCCCCATGCAGCTGCTTCACGGCAGTGCTATTGTTTGACCCAATTAAATTACTTTTGTGTGCTTTTTTTTTTTTTTGTCGCTCTGGCTTGAAGATAATTAGCCAAATGATGCCCTGATTTCTTTCCTCTAACATCTTCCATTTAATTATTCAGAAAGGGGAGCTGGTTGTCTCACTCAGTGTGTGGGTGATACGGGGCTGCGGGACAGCAGATGCTCCCGGCGCTCACCTCAGCCCTCACTGCACAGAACTGTGCACCGTCAGGATGCACCACTGTCCTCAATGGGATTTGGTTGGGATTTCACGGAATCACGAAGGTTGAAAAAGACCCCTAAGATCACCGAGTCCAACCAAACCACTGCCCACGTCCCTCGGTGCCACATCTCCATGGATTTTGAACAGCTCTGGGGATGGTGTGAGCCCACCACCCCCATGGGCAGCTGTGCCACCGCAGCACCGCTCTTTTAGGGAAGAAATACTTCCTAACATCCAACCTGAACCTCTCCTGGTGCAACTGGAGGCCATCACACCCTGTCCCATCGCTGTTACCACCTCACCTCAGCGGGAGGCTCCAGGTTGCACAGTGGCCACGATTCAAGTGGGCTTACAGATTGTGGGTTTGGGGTTTTGCTCTTGGTTTGAGCAAGGCTGCTGGTTTAGTGCTTGCTTCTTTGCACAACCCCACGGATTAAATGAGCTTCTAGGCCATGAGAAAAATGCCAAGTGGTTGCGTTTGGAGGGGGTGGGAGCTCTGCCTTGCTGAGCCGTGATCCTGTGTTGGGTCCTCATCCATCCATGTGCTGGGGTGTTGACCATCGTCATGGTGCCAGGTGGGACCTGGTGTGGGGGACAGGGGCCACTTGTGTGAGAAAATCCCATCGAGGAGCTGTGGGAGGTTTTATGTTGTATCCCTGTGTGATAGGGGAGGGAAGACTGATGGTTTCATGTTTCCAGAGCAGTCTTAGCTTAAGATTTGCTGCCAGTAGCCACTTCTCAAATACTTTGATGGTGATTTCCAAGGGACTTACCTACAGCATCAGTAAAGCTTTCCCTGTTGGTGAAATGTTATTAAGAAAAGCAGTCAGTTCAAGAATCACCTTCTTAAAAGCAGATTGTACCTTGGTGGGATTTACATTTGTATATACAAACAGCTTCTGTTTGCATTTTCTGGCTTTTGTGGCTTTGTCTGTGCTCAGTACTATTATGGCTGTTTTAAGAAGAGAATTAACTTCAACTAAACGAATAGG